CTGGCCGTCTGCAGTGAGGGTGATGGATGCTTGGAGGCGGGATAGGACATCAGCACCCAAGAGGTTAATGGGACATGTGGAGGAGACAACAAACCGGGAAAGGATATCAGAATCCACATGGAGGAGTTTAGTGAGTGGGTTACTGCGGGAAGTACCATCAACACCAACACAAGAGACATCGGTGTCAGACAGGAACGATGAGTCAGGCAGGTCTTGTTCTCTAAGAACACTGCGGGCTGCACCTGTGTCAACCAGGAAAGTAGTGGGATGACCCTCAACGGGTAGAACTACTGTGGCTAGTGGCCCTCCCCCATCCCCTGTAGACACGTGGCAGGGGCATTAAACATCAGCGGGTTTGCTCTCCTCTGTATGGGCTGTGTTACTGACTCTAACCCCTTTCTATGTCATTAGCCATAGCTTTTTGCAGTCTGAACATGTCTATCATTATAAATAATGGTTAATAGTAATTGAAGTAAAGTTCCTATATGTCTTTGGATAAAACATTAACTATTGCGGTACTATCATTTATATTAATTAGGCCATAACAATTATACCACCCTGTAACTAAAATGAATAACCAGTAGTGGCTGGGTTAATAAAACATGTCACTAATCCTTCTAAAACTAAACCATTATTTAACGTAAAGGATGTTACTGTAAACATACGATTTGTAACAAGCAAGATTCGATTAAGTAAAGATACAATGTTTAAAATAACCTGCATTATTTGGCTATTTCCCTTGTTGCAAGATTAATCTGGATAATCAGCTGTTATGCTCTTATATTCGTGTCCAACAGATCTCATTTGTAGGTCACACCACAGTTGCAAATGACATTTTAGCAACCTTTTTTTTTTTTTTTTTTATCACGGACACATTTCTGATACAGGGAAACAAATGGCATGATTGTTTTAGTAATTATAATGTTTCTGTTCATAATATGTAGAGTGTAAGGAAAACAATATGTCTCTGAATAGGACGAGCATAATAGGGGTAGGCCTCATGATGGAGGCAGCCATGACAGGGGCGGGGAAGGAAATGACAGCAAGGGAGGAAGTGAGGTGATATCCATGATAGGTGTGGGAAAGGAAGACAGGAGGTGTGGGCATGGTAAGGGCGGAAGTGACGTCACTTTAGAAGCAACTGTGACTGTAGATAGGTCACGGGACTGGCAGAGTCAACCTCCTTCTGTACTAGGCGCCAGCTTTAGGGTGGTGGCTGACGCACTTTCAACAATACACTATATTATAACTAATAAAATAAGTCAGAGAAGCAACATTCCGTTCTGCAAAATGAAATACTAAACTATGAACAGACCTGTCAGGTTAAATAAGACAGTTGAAAACATTATGCATTTAACAGCCCATAAAGCTGTCCATAGAAACATGTACTTTAAAATAACTTTAAAATAATAAAATGATGCAAAATAAACTCACGGAATTCAACCAATTTCCCTTATCATCCTCCAACCATTAATCACTTTCCTCTTCACATACTAACTTAACAACTTCGCATATTCCCTCTATTCTTGTATCAGATTCACTTACCTAACCTCCGTAAATCAACACTGAGCAACATCCCTGACTCCCTGTCTTATACACCAGTCTTGGAGAGAATACTCAGAAAGGTGGAATGCATTCTTGTGAGCGAGTCTCTCCCACAGTCTTCACTGCCTTATCACAAAACACAATTTATATATATATATATAGCACCGTGGAATCTGCCGGCGCCATGCAAACGGCAACAACAATAATATTATTACACAATTAGAATATTTTCCAGCAAAAATCCTGTCTCTAACTCTTATCAGTAGCTCCGAAATGCAGGCATGTCACTCCTCCCCCTATCTAACTTCTGTCCCATCCTCCCTATATAAGACGTCCCAGATATAGAGAAAGAGAGAAAAGAAGGTCTACAGTGCTCGACTGCTACGTAAGAGTGGGTTCCTACGTACGTCTTCCCAAAACGTAGACTAGTCACAAATTCCGCCTACCCGAGGTAGCCGCGGAATTGGAGCGTGGCGAGAAGTGTGTGACCAATCACTTCTCTCAACAAAGAGAAATAAGAGGGGAAAGTGTAAATAACACAGAGAGTAAGATAAGATCAAGCACAGGAATCTGTGTGACAGACAATTAAGACAACATTTCAAATAAAATACAGTGCATGCATCACAGTTCAAATGCTTTTCCTTTACTCGTGTGGCCTTAGCCACCTCCCTCAACCTCGTAGTGTCCCTGTTGCGGACCCACCCGCAAGTCTCACTACCGTACGGTGATGGAAACAGCAATGCCTGCCCGAATCCAATCCCACCACAACCTAACAGTGTCCGTATCCGCGGGCACTGAGAGGTTAACAGAACACTACCAGCGTCAGCGCTCGAGGCTGAAGTGTCTCACCCTCTGCAAGCAGAGTAACGTGCACAATGAGGCTAGCCAGGCCCTCAAAGTGACACCCTGGACCTGAGAAAGTAGTGAGTCCACACAGACTTCCACCAGATCCCCTCCCCTTTTTCCTTTACCGCTAGAGCCACCTAGCACCTAAAAGGGGTAAACAGGCACTCACACTCCCCGGGGACTAAGCTAAACAAAAAACCAATACAAACACACCCAGGCAACAGATAGTCAACATGCAGGTAAACTAGGTATCATTAACAATATAAAGACTCTGGGCAAGTTATTACCTGACTTTGATGTCCTCTTGGCAGCAGTCACAGACACTGGGACAGGTCAATCACAGGGGTAGGAACATACCGGCTAGGTGCTGCAGCAGTCTCCACCGTATACTCAGAGGTGATCAGGCTCTTTTCCTTCCCCCAGGATTCATCCCCCCCAGCGTCTTCTTGGACGGCTGCCCGGGCAGGACATAACCCAGAGCCCCACGTTGAAGGCGCCAAATTGTAGTAGATTATTTTCTGCAAACCAATTAGTTTGAATGACTATCTGTTCCTGTCCAAATTAAAGATAATAAAGTTGCGTGCACGCAGAAGTAAATTCACACTGAGACACAGAGTTCAGGTTAATGAAAGAACTTCGGAGAAGTTTAATGGCTTCTAACAGAAAATGGGTGCGCAGACCCTTTTAAAGGCATTATTACATCACTGAAGAATTCAAGATAACAGCAAATAGACACTATTGATTGGTCCAGGTGTTAAGTGGTTAGTTAGATACTCTCCTATCAAGAGGTGATGTCATCCTTGACACGGGGGTGGACACAAGATGTAGGCGCCATCTTGTTAGCACGAGGTGTTCACTCGATGGGAGGGGTGCTTTGGCAGCCATTTTGAGTAGTTAGTATTGTTAGTTTCAAGGTTCTTTTAGTAAATACACATTTTATTATTCAGCACATTTCTTCCTGCCAAAGCATTAGCTTAGATAATTTCAAGAATTCTATAATTCTACAACAAAGGCAAGCCTCAATAGGTGAGTTCCTACACTAGCCATTAGATATGCTGATATCAGCCAAGAATCTCCAGTGAGACAGGAAGGCGTATTTTATAAACCCTTTCACATTTAACCCTTTATAGGGCTTCTACACATACAATAAACTTTGCTGGTATCAGACAAAATGTAAACATCTCTGAGACAGGAGACAGGAAGGGGTATTTTATAAACCTTTTCACATTTAACCCTTTATAGGGCTTCTACACATACAATAAACTTTGCTGGTATCAGACAAAGTGTAAACATCTCTAATGAGACATGAAGGGGTATTTTATAAACCCCTACATACTTAACCCTGAATAGGGCTATAACACGTGCAAATCACCTTGCTGGTATCAGCTAAAAGGCAAATTTCTCTGATGAGACAGGAAGGGGTGCTGCCCCTACATACTTATAAACTCTTAATAAGACAAACGTGGGGAGGCTGGCAGCAATGTAACAAAATTCATATACAAACACAAAGATACAATACCTAACCTCCCCATGCTTGTACGTGACCAAAGACCATAGTTAAAGTATCTTCGGTGGGAAGGTTTGACAGCAAAGGTATTAATAATGTGACGGCTGTGGATAGAAGGTTTGCCCTGTCCATTAGGTATTACTCAGATTCACAGAAGAAGTACAGTACTGATCCTACCAGACACAGCATTCCTCACTGGGACAGCAGAAGTATTGTAATGTCTGACTTGTGCTACTGAGTCCTAATTGTTTTAATGCTATTTAAACTATTTGGAAGGATGTCAGATAAAAATGCAACTCATTTTGTATGCAATGTATTTTTCATTTGACCTTGTACTATGATTGACGTGGCCTAGATTATTAGAAATACACCATGTACTTCTATACTACTACTTGAGCGAACAGGCACTACTGCCTGTAGCCTTTCACAATGTGTTAATAGTTGCGCTTCAAATGGGTCAGTATGCAAAACAAAAACAGAAAAAAAAAATTATGGACTATATTCAGAAATTTGGGTAGAGTAAAAGTGTAAAGCCACATACGTTTTCTTACAGCTACACATTAAATTTTTCCATACCTCCTTGAGCCTTTGATCCAATTATGTGATCAGGCCAAGATTCTATATTTTTACACTATGAATATGTTCTCTTATAAATATATATTTTTCACATTTGTTTTTTTTTTTCTTTTGTTTTTATAATTTTCTTACTTGCAATCCCCAAAGCGCCAAATCTCAAATTTTTAATTATCTATATAAAAAGGGGGAAGCTAGGAGCCCTCATACACTTTTTTAAAAAAAGCCTTTTTTTTTTTTTATATATATAAATCTTTATTTTCATTTCATTTTTTTTAAAATTCATTCAGATACAGATACAGCTTTAAACACTGTAGAAAATTACTTAACAGTAAAATAATACATATGAATAACAGTAAAACCGTGCTTCAAATATACATCTACCAGTTTTCTGCTGTTCTGCTGTATCTACAACCGTGCAAGCATACCATACGCTCAATACATCTTATCCATACCACATTTTCACTGCTACCTACTATTGGCTATCTATAAGGGGGCAGGGGGGATTGAGTTTTTATAAATAATGTATCTAACCCAAGGGACCCAAACTTCGTTATACTTTTCTCTAGATATCTTGTTTAAGGCTATCCCGGCTTCCATGCTACGTTGGTAATCTATCTGCGTACAAATATCGTGCCAATTTAACACACCCATTTTTCTCCAATTTCTAGCCATAACTATTTTTATAGCCATACAAATGTGGATCATAAGGATTTTTAGTTTTATATTACTTTTTGGCAGGTCTAAATGAAACAAAAACATTTGAGGCGTAATCACAGTCTGAATTTCAAACACAAAATCCATCAATTCCGCTAAAATTAATTTCATAGGTTTCAACTCCTCACAGTCCCACCAGATGTGGGAGAATGAGCCTAACTCCCTACCACATCTCCAACAATCTGGTAGAAGTGTGGGTTGAAATCTATGAAGGCGGGTAGGGACCAAATACCAACGGTATACTAATTTAAAGTATACTTCCTGTATATTCACCCCATGTGTATATCTTTTTACTGCTTGTAAACCCAATAACCAATCCTCGACCGAAGATGAAAAATGAAGTTCTTGCTCCCATTTACTCATTGCTGGCACTTTATCTATTTGCCTTTGACTTCTTAAAAATTGATTAAATCTAGATACGATCTTTTTTTTATAATGGGATTCTATGAACTGGTCTATTGGAGAAGTTTCCGAAAGAACTTTTCCCATAGTAAAAGATTTTATTCTTAAATAGTTAAATATTTCCTTCGAAGGAAGGTTATATTTAGACTGAAATATGGGGAATGGCAATATTTTATTATTATTTAAAAGATCTGCTATTCTTACTATTCCACAGTGTACCCATTCTTGGATATTTATATCCTTTATGTAATATTTTAAGCTTATTAATGGGGCATTTGATGAAATATATTTTGTACCATATTTTTTTTTCAAGTACTTAACAATGTAAATCATTGTATTATTCATCGGATTACTAGATCTTATGTTTTTTAGAGATTCACTGTCGCACCACCAGAGAAATAAAGGTTCCATATCGCAGAGATCTGCTTTTTCAATGTCCAACCAATTTGGTCTAGACTTTGTAAAGTTATCACACTTAATTAAATGTGCAACCATATTATTCATATATAATTTCTGTATGTCTGGGAAACAAATCCCCCCTTCTTTCCAGTCTCTCTGTAAAATTTCCAAAGACACTCTAGGTCTCCTCTCTTGCCAAATATAATTTGATACTTGCCTTTGAAGACCACGTATCGTCTGGCATGACACCCTCAGTGGGAGGTTACCAAATAAAAATGTCAACTTGGGGAGGAGATAGAAGTTTACTGCTTCAATCCTTCCCAACCAAGAGAGTTCTAATCCCTTCCAGTTTTTTAAGGTGTTCCTAAATTGGATAGCAATGTCTGTATAATTAAGTTCTCCAATTTCTCTGTAATCTAGCGATAGTTTTACTCCTAAATATTTTATTTTCCTTACTTCCCAGTCACATTTGAAATCTGTTTTGAGTTTGTCTACCTCAGATCCACTTAAACCTTTTATCAGAATTTGTGTTTTCTTTATATTTATTTTATAACCTGAGTATTTACCATACACATTTATGAGCCAAAATACGGCTGGGATAGATCTAATAGGGTCTGCAAGGGTCAATAATACATCATCTGCATAAAGTGCAATTTTATTCTCCAGCCTATTCACTTTTAACCCGCTGATGTCTTCATTTTGTCTAATCGCGACTGCCAACGGCTCTATAGAAAGGATATATAACAGGGGTGCCAAAGGGCATCCCTGTCGCGTCCCGTTTCTAACTGGAAACCAATTCGATTGGAACATATATCCTGATACTTTAGCTTGAGGGTCTTTATATAATGCCATTGTACACTCCTTGAAGAAACCCTCGATGCCGAAGGCCCTCAATACTTCCTCCATATACTTCCAGTTAACCCGATCGAAAGCCTTCTCGGCATCGAGGGTAACCATAGCGAAAGGAGATGAGCTTTGGTTCGCATGATATAAGACATTCAATAGTTTCCTAATGTTATCAGATGTGCCCCTACCCTCTACAAATCCGGTCTGATCTAAATGTACTATATTAGGTATGTTTTGTTTAAGTCTATCGGCCAGAATTCTGGAGTAAACTTTGATATCCAAATTGATAAGAGAGATTGGTCTATAATTCGAAATGTATGTTGGATCCTTATCTATCTTAGGGATTGGTATTATAGAAGCCTGAAGTAATTCTGTTGGGATGGCTTTATGATTAGCAAAATCTTCAAATGTTCTTAATATATATGGTGAAATTATATCACTTAATTTTTTATAAAAAATTGAAGAAAAGCCATCTGGGCCTGGTGCTTTGCCTGCTGTTAATGCTTTAATAGTATTGCTAATCTCCTGAATGGAAAATGGAGCATTTAATTGACTTAATTTCTCCATCGATATTTTTGGTAAGCTCAATTTATCCAGAAACTGTTTTGTTTCGCCCTCAGGTGGCTCATTATATTTTATATTATATAGGCTTTTATAATAGTCTTCAAATGCTTTAGCTATTTGAGTTGGAGAAAGCATTTTTTTACTTCCGACTGTTATATAGTTTATAGATTGTAGTTTATTTGTATTTTTTAGTTTGTTTGAGAGATTTTTCCCTGTTTTATTATTTCCATAATACCATCTCTGTTTTAAGATTAACATAGCTTTATTAATCTTTTCTTGAGTTCTTACTAATATTCTTTCCCTGATCTCTTTAATAACCTCCAAAATGTTATAGTCAATGGTAAGTTTATGTAAGCGTTCTTGTTTTGCCAGATCAATATAAAGCTCATTAAGCTCCTTTCCTTTCTTTTTTTTTATAGTGGCACCCAATTTTATGAGACATCCTCTCATATATGATTTAAACGTACACCATAACATGGCGTTAGAGACATCCCCTGTATCATTGATTTCGAAGAATTCTCTAGTCTGAGTGCGCAGTTCTTCTACATTAATTTCTGATTTTAATAAATTTTCATTTAGTCTCCATTTATCTCTACACTTATATTCAGCATTATTTTTTATAACTAAGCTTACAGGTGCATGATCGGACCATGTTATCGGTCCAATTGTCACCTTCTTAACTCGCTCCAAAGTTTCCGATTTAACCAAAAAATAATCAATTCTGGTATATGTCTGATGGACACTTGAGAAGAACGTATAGTCTCTCGCTTCTGGACTATACGTTCTCCAGGCATCATATAAACAATTTTTTGCCAAAAAAGTCTGCATCATTGATAGACCTGTTCTTTGCTTGCCGTCTAAATGAACATTAGGCTTAGTTCTATTCCTATCTATTTTATTATCTATAGTGCAATTAAAATCCCCACCGATAATTAGGCTGCCAGACGCTACGCGGTCAATCTTTTGCATCAAATTTCCCAAAAATCTGTACTGAGATTGGTTTGGAGCATAAACATTTACTAAAGTATACACAACATCGTTAATTCGTGCTATCACTATAAGGAACCTACCACCCGGGTTGGCCTCCTCATAGATCAGCTCATATTTCACACTACCTGAAAAGAAAATTGCCACCCCTCTTTTCTTATTCTTTCCTGCCAAATTAGATCTATGGACCACTGGGAATTTTTTATAATTCCATAGTTTAGGCATAGAGTTAGTCCAGTGTGTTTCTTGAACGAAACCAATATCTATTTTGCTGTCAATCAGTAGTTTATATAGATAACCTCTTTTCTGACCTGAATTTAAGCCCCTTGCGTTAATAGATAGTATGTTTAATGACATACTACCGCAGCTCTTCCCACACCTTCTCCCCCTCTAGCCTCCCCTCAGATAGCATCCAACACTCAAATCCATTCATACCTTCCCCATTCGGCCCTATATATTTGGACCTCCTGGTGAAGCCCCAACTTTCTATTACTACATTCAATCCATAATATGAAGTTCTGCGTACATTCTTCATATTTAACCCTGCTGCCGTCGCAGGACCCTGGACCAGAATAGTGGGCAATGTCGATGCATTAGCTCTGTAGGCAATTTATTCTTTATTATACTCCCTCTGTCCTTCAACTTATTCTGCCCTTCTTTTCCCTTTCCCTTTCGATTACTATTTTTTAAAGGCGTTCCGATGTTCTTTCCCTTTATCCAACCCCAAGATCTATCTACTGGGTTCCCCTGCCACTGACTTCCATTTTATCTAGGACAACTCGACTATCCTTATGTTTTTATTCTCAAGTGATCCTTTTCCCTAGCTCTTGGATAGTTTCTCCCTACTCCTCCCTTACTTCCTCCAATGTGCCAATTTCATACAAAATTTAGTTAAACTTATAATTATTGTGATATTCACTTCATTCATTTCATTCACTTAAGTTAAATAATGTATCTATACATATATATTGTGTTTTAAACTCAGCTTCCCTATTCATTACATTAAATGTAAATCTATGATTATTTTCATTATATTCGTGTATAATTAACCCCTATAACATACCTAAAACAGATATACACCCTTTCTACCCATATCCAAAAATCTTATAAATTATTTTCAATACTTCTATGTGTTATAAACCTCTTTTTGTTCAATTCATACTGCTTGAATTATCTTATGTGTCTTTATATCAATTTATCTATTATGTCTATAACTCTGTGGTTACCCCTTTTAACTTTACCACTTCTATATAGTGAGAAAAAAAAAAAAAAAAGGAGGAGTTCAATTAATTGAGACTAAGGAATAATTTTCAAACTTATCATCTTCTGTTTTAGTGCCAAGTTGTCTCTAAAGATATATGTTTTATCTTTGAAAAAGACCATAATCGCCGTCGGGAACAGCCACTTATATCTAATCTCCAAATTCCTAAGAATAAGCGTTTCTTCGGCAAAAGTTCTTCTTGCTTGTCTTGTCTCATAAGATAAGTCCTGATAAACTTTTAAATGTCTCCATTCTTCAGTGTCCAGGATCCCGTTCCTTATCTTCTGCATTATTTGATTCTTCATCCAAAAACTAGCGAAACAAATCATAACATCTCTTGGATAGGACTTGTCGGTTCCATTTAATCTTGCCAGTCTATGGAATCTTTCAAATGTCTCAGGGCCCAGCGTCTGTCTGGATAATATTTTTGAAAAGAAATTATTCAAATACAAATATAAATCTTCTTGTAGAATTGATTCCGGTATGCCTCTGACTCTTACGTTGTTTCTCCTTGAGCGATCCTCTAGATCCGTCAGCTTGATCTCAATATCCTGCAGTCTCTTCTCTAGCTGTATATTAGATGTTTTAATTTGTTCGTATTCCTCTTGTACTTTTTGTAATATGTTTGCTTGATTTGAGAGTTTCTCAGAGAGAGTGGCAATTTCCAGTCTGATATCTTTAGAGTTGTTTTCAATATCCGTTTGGATCTTTTTATGTAAATTGTCCAACATTTGGGTTAAAAGTTGTTGCGTCAATCCCTGTGGGGTTTTTGACAAGTATGGTAAGTCGTCCTCTAATATATTTGATAATTGATGTGCTGGAAGCTGAACATTTTCTAGAGGCAGAGACTTTCGTTGCCTCTCTAGTTCTGTACCTGCAGCTTTGGGTGAATAAAATGAACCAATTGTTGCCTTCTTTTTCTCCATATTTTGGGCTTTCTCTTTTTTCGGAGCCATATGTAGTGCTATAACACCAAAGTTAAATTTTATACTCCACTAAGAATAGCTGTGGAATTTAAATTACTTTTTCACAATTAGCCCAAATCTCTCATTTCCTCTTCACTGCAGCGCCAGACAACTGTCTCTTTAATTTAACTCTTGTTTGTCAGGTATAAAATAAGAATCAGTAAATACTAAGAGTATATTCAATAATCAATCTTCTGTTTATAAGTATAAGTACCTTCAGTCTGTAGATTTATATGCACAATATCAGCCCAAATCGTACTTGAAGATTATTCTTCCTCAGTGTATCAGCAGGCCCCAATACCTCTTGTTTGTCACATATAGAATATAAATCAGTAACAGGAAAATGCCTCGATTGTAGCTGCTTTTATAACCTTGTATCCGCTTTACAGCAGCTGCTCAGCCAGTTAACATACACATGGGAATCAAATGGCAAATATGACTGCTTTTATAACTTTGTAGCTTTTGTAACTTTATAACCGCTTTACAGCAGCTGCTCAGCCAATTAAGATACTCATGGCAAATAATTGTCTCAGTGAATCAACTTTGTAGCTTATATATCAACTTTATAACAACTATTCAGCCGATTGCCATACCGTGAGAGTCAGAAGTCAGAAGGGGAAATAGAATTAAAACCCCCCTATATCCGCTTGTATCTCTATACCGGCTTTGTGACAGCTTTGCAGCCGCTTCTCCTACTCGTACCTCGCTGATCAAAAAACTTCAGCGCCGTTCCGCCTAGCGTCCTTGCTACCTCGTTTAGTTCGCCTGCTTCATTGCCCCACTACCTGGTCCCTAGAGACGCGCGGTCCTGGCGCTTACGTGCACGCCAACGTCACGTACCGCCCGCCCATGTGTCATAAAAAAGCCTTTTTGAATAAGTCGAAACAACGTTCGTGTTTGGAGCATTTTTTATTATATTTTTATAATTTTATAGTTTGTTTTCATTATCCAGCAAAAAGCTGTTTTTTTTCCCCCCATGCTCATGGATCTTCATCTGTTTGCGACTACACTCCATATTCAATATCCTTGGTGAGGATGAAATCCATTCATGCCATAAGGATTGGGCAACAACATATTGCTCATGAATACAGTTGCAAGAAAAAGTACGTGAACCCTTTGGAATGATATGGATTTTTGCACAAATTGGTCATAAAATGTGATCTGATCATCATCTAAGTCACAACAATAGACAATCACAGTCTGCTTAAACTAATAACACACGAAGAATGAAATGTTGCCATGTTTTTATTGAACACACCATGTAAACATTCACAGTGCAGGTGGAAAAAGTATGTGAACCCCTAGACTAATGACATCTCCAAGAGCTAATTGGAGTGAGATGTCAGCCAACTGGAGTCCAATCAATGAGATGAGATTGGAGGTGTTGGTTACAGCTGCCCTGCCCTATAAAAAACACACACCAGTTCTGGGTTTACTTTTCACAAGAAGCATTGCCTGATGTGAATGATGCCTCGCACAAAAGAGCTCTCAGAAGACCTACGATTAAGAATTGTTGACTTGCATAAAGCTGGAAAGGGTTATAAAAGTATCTCCAAAAGCCTTGCTGTTCATCAGTCCACGGTAAGACAAATTGTCTATAAATGGAGAATGTTCAGCACTGCTGCTACTCTCCCTAGGAGTGGCCTTCCTGTAAAGATGACTGCAAGAGCACAGCGCAGACTGCTCAATGAGGTGAAGAAGAATCCTAGAGTGTCAGCTAAAGACTTACAAAAGTCACTGGCAAATGCTAACCTGTTAGCGAATCTACAATACGTAAAACACTAAACAAGAATGGATTTCATGGGAGGATACCACAGAGGAAGCCACTGCTGTCCAAACAAAACATTGCTGCACGTTTACAGTTTGCACAAGAGCACCTGGATGTTCCACAGCAGTACTGGCAAAATATTCTGTGGACATATGAAACCAAAGTTGAGTTGTTTGGAAGAAACACACAACACTATGTGTGGCGAAAAAAGGCACAGCACACCAACATCAAAACCTCATCCCAACTGTGAAGTATGGTGGCGGGGGCATCATGGTTTGGGGCTGCTTTTCTGCGTCAGGGCCTGGACGGATTGCTATCATCGAAGGAAAAATGAATTCCCAAGTTTATCAAGACATTTTTCAGGAGAACTTAAGGCCATCTGTCTACCAGCTGAAGCTCAACAGAAGATGAGTGTTGCAACAGGACAATGACCCAAAGCATAGAAGTAAATCAACAACAGAATGGCTAAAACAGAAGAAAATACGCCTTCTGAAGTGGCCCAGTCAGAGTCCTGACCTCAACCCGATTGAGATGCTGT